TTTTTTTTTTTTATATATATCTGAAGTCTCCCACTCTCATCGCAAGCTTGCTTAGACATAGGGGTAATCACCTCAGTTTTTTAGATCATTTAACTTAATTTGTATTTTTGTATTCTATCTAAGTTGAGTTGAAATATAATTATAATAATAATTTAATAAATAAATTTGATAAAAAAAATAATAATAATAATAATAAAATATTAGATATATGACAACCAAAATTCTAAGTTTTATATTGTTTGACAATATAAATGAATTCTTCAACGGCTATTATTTATATTGGTCTGGCTCTCAATGCAATAATATTATAATCACTTTAGTACCTACCGAGGACTCGTAATAGTGACCACCGCCGGGCCGGTTAGGGCTGTTATTAATTTTTATACAAATTTACTGCTGTATTAATATTTTGTAACTTGACATTTACAAATTGTATAACCATAGATAATTCGTAAACAATTATGTTTAACCATTAGATTATCAGCTTATACACAATATTATTTCTTTTCGTTATAATACTACTTACTAAAGACCTGCACGGGCCGGGCCGGACCTTCAATTAGCACAAGTTACGGGCCGGGGTGGGTTGGACTTTTCTTAAATAAAATCCGTGCCGGGCCGGACTATTTTTTAAACAAAAGTTACGGGCCGGCCCGAACTTCTCTAAAATAAAACTGAAATGTATATTATGTGATATTTGTTTTTTAAATTTTTAATATTAGTTCTATAAGATTTTTTTTTATTATTAAATATGTTAAAGATAAACAATTTTTTTTTGAAATTGTATTAAAAGTGATGTTTTAAATTAATAATATTTAATAAGTTCGTTATAATATATTAGGTACTTAGTACTTACTGCTTAATTTGTTATACAAAAGACAAGAGTATTTTATCATTTCTTTTTCATTTCTAACCGAGCCGGGCTTTCTAAAAATTTTACCGGACCGGGTCGGGCTGGGTTTACTCACCTAAAACTATTTGCGAGCCGGGCGGGGCTTACTCGTCTAAAACTATTTCCGGGCCGAGCTTTTTAAAAATGTTAACGGGCCGGACCGGGCTGTAAAGTATCGGCCCGTGCAGACCTTTACTACTTAAATCTGCATGCAAGCGACTTTATTGTACAGTGTACACTAGTCAGTAGTCAGTTTATCATTCTCAAGCAATTATTTTCCAATTTTTTACTGCATATTATACCGCATATTTTGATGTTTTTTAACGCATATTTAAGCTCATATTTTAGTACTTTTTAGCGCATAGAGTTCTAAGCCTTGATAATAAACTGACTGAACTGAAAAAAAAATGCCAACGGCACGTAGTATTTGTTGTCGTTTGTCTGTTGTTGCCAAGCGGTAACCCATCCAAGTACCAATTTACGTTCGACGTTGCTTTACCTTCTCAGTGATCGTACAAGAACTGTTGTATTTAACGTGGTATGGTCGTTGGCGAAGAACAGGAGAAAAACAACATTATTTATGTAGTGTTGTAAATTTTTTATTAAATTAATTTTTTATATCAATGTTGGCTATGCTGCATATCAATGTCCTATCCACTATTTTATCATCTACATTTTTCTATATAGTGTAACGTTTTTCATCAGAATCTCTTTCTGCAAAAGCTTCAAGACACCTTCCCTCACGTCCTTTTTTTTGTTAAACTTAACGTTTTAATTTTTGCTTGGGTTTTCAGTTTAATTATTCTTCATGAATAAAGAATATATTATAAAAGAATCTGTCACTACACTGGCAATCGCAATTGCAGATCACCAACAGATTCCAAATGAAATTTATGTGTCCACTTGTTTGGATAAAGTTAATCAAGTATTTAAACCCCAATGGATTAGAAATCAAGTAATAATAAAAACTATTCTTTGCTAAATTATAAGAAAATTAAATATTTCTACTTATCACTACGCCAGGGCTGGGCAATATCTTAGATAGTAGTATTCAAAATACATATCTAAGATAAATATAGTACATTGTATTCAAATACATTATTTTAATGTATCTTGTATCATATATTTAAACACTTTTTTGAGACTTGTATCTAGTATCTAGATACATTCAAAATGCATGTAATAATAATTATGAAACGGCAACTATTTGTGGATTAGCCAAGACGTCCAAAATCTACTGAAATTATTAAAAGTATATTAGGTTATTGTTTAATTTATCCATGTCTAACAAGGTGGAATTCATTATTTGATTCAATTAGCCAACTTCTTATTTACAAAACAAAACTAAATACAGTTTTCCAATATTTAAATACTAATTATGTTTTTAAAGATTTAGATAATTAGAGTATTTAGAATAGTATGTAATTTTATTAAAACAAATTGATGTGTTTTAGATTATTTACAACACCAAGCTAATTGTAACTACAGTGTATTAATTCCAACATTATTTTCACTCAAATACTGGCTTGAATCGTTAAAAGAAAAAAACTAAGATCTTTGTCTACTATGATTACTTCATTAATATTATCATCGAATACAAGATTTTATTCTTTTTCGAATTTAATACCTGAAGTTAATTATGTTATTTTAGCTACATGTTTTCACCCTGCATTTAAATTATGTTGGCTCCCAAAAACAATAAGTGATCAAGAAAAAAAAAAAATTCAAAATTTATGTATTAATGAAATAGAGTGTAGTGTATAACAAAATTGTTCGAAATTGAATCCCAATCTAGTGAAGAATGAGAAGAGTTTTTTTATTATTTTTTCTTCTGAGCCAGACCAGTTAAGACAACAGTCAAGTAACGAACTTAAATATATAAGTTTTTTAAATAATTGAAATAAATCATTTAGTTGCTTAAATAACTATCCAAAATTAAAAAAATAAATATTTATGAAATATAACACAAACCTAACCTCTTCAGCTGCTGTTGAACGAATATTTTCATTTACTGGGCTTATTCATTCTCCGTGTAGACCTAGTATGTCAGATTATACTTTTAAAAATTAGTTTCTTTAAAAGGTAACCATTATTTTATTTAAAACATGGAGTATAAATTACTTTTACTATAATACTACTTATAATTTAATTAAATTTAAACATTTAATAGTTAATAAATAAACATTATAATTTATATATTTTTTTTTTATTGTAACTAACTTAAATTAATTCATAAGTATTTATACATGTTTAAAGTATTTTGTATTTTGTATTTAGATACTTTGCGGTATCTTGCCCATGCCTGCATTGCGCAACTTACAACATGAATATTGTTCATTATTTTAATTCATTTATGTACTATCTACAGATATTTCAAATATTTTATTAATGATTGGAAAATATTCTCATGATTATAAGCATAATTATTATATTATTATTATTATATTTTTCTACATGACTAATTCATAAATATAATTATTATACTATTACTAATTACAATTTTTTTTTATCGCTAAAAGTCAATCTGTACTTTGTTAATTTGAAGATTATTGATTTGTATAAAGGTTTTGTTTTTGTTTATGTCATAGGATGATATTATATGTTTATTTCAAGTATGTCAAGAAATTAGTCCAACAGATACAAATTTAGTAACTAAATGTTGTAGTTTGCTTATCAAAATATTACCAAAACTGACTTCTGGCGAAGAAAATCTTTTAATAAATACAACTTCCTGGATATTATCATCCATTGTTCAATTAGAGAACCATAAAAACCAATCTAACCAATTAAATGAAATCCTTAATTTATATGTTTGCATTATTCAAGCATATAAAAAATTAAATATCAACAATAACAAAGTAAGAAAATATTTTAAACTACCTATTTGATCAAAATATTTAAGTATTTATCAAAATTATAATTTTAAAGCATTGAAATTGTATGTTGTTTAAAAAAAAATTATTTTAGATAGTTTCTCAAGTAATAGTTTTACTATTACCATTATTAGAACAAATAAAAAACTACTCAAAAGATACACAGACAAATATTTGCATACTGACTTCTATGAAGGTAATAGAAGCTACTATAATTATTTTAAAAGATTATGAGTATGTTAACACTATTGGAATAAATTTAATTCATTTTATGGAACAGTTAATTAATAAAATTAGTAATATACAACTTTATGAGCAAGAAGTAAGTTATCAAAAATAAATAATATTTTTAAAATATTGGAACAGTTAATTCTTTCTGATTAATTAAACTATTTTTAATTATAAATATTGTTATCTATGTTAAACTAGTATTTGACATTTGAACTTTGGTAAATTTAAATTTAACTAAATATAGTTATAATTTTTTTAGGTTTTAAAATATGCGTTACAAATATTGTTACAACTTATTGATCAGTCTAAACAGTGGACTAATGAAAATTTCAATAAATTGTTACCTATTGTCTTAGTATATTTAAGGTTTGGTTTGATTTTTAATCAATCCAAATTTATTAATGATTTGCAACCCTCCCCCATTGTTCAGTGGGAAAATCCATCAAGACTTGATATAGTTCCTACCGTAAGTTATATTTAAAATTAATTTATACTATTCACATAGACCTGAATTGGGGGAGTTTAGCCTCCTAATAATTTCCATAAGCCCTCTAAAAAATCCCATCACTCTTCAACCAATATCTCATTACGACTGTTAAATTATTATTTTTAGCAGAAAAAATATTTATCAAGTCTCTATACTAAAATAGGAAATATAGTATTCATGTATAAAAGGTTTAAATTGTGTTGTATTAGACAATAATTTATATGTGATGTAAACCAAATATCAGCATTCAGCAACATAGGTAGTATATTACTAACACAGTATATAGCTTCAAACTAAATATAATTTATTTTATATTTAAAATTATTAGAACAAAAAAAATAGAGATGTTATTCTCAAACTATATACTGATAAATATAAATATATTACAAAATAATAAAAAATAAAATAAAAATTATTACATTTTTAATTCTCATAAATTAATATATAATTAAATAAATAAATAGTTAGTATATAGAAATATATAAATAAAAGCTAAGCTTGGAGTATTATTTTATTTGTAATATACGACCGGTTTCAAATTAAAAATTTATAATCACTGATTATTAATCAGATATCTACAAAGTTAATAAAATGGTGAGTGAATATGGAGAAATAAAATAAGTCAAAATTTAATTAATTTTGTATATATCTGATGATGAATTATTAATTCGTAACCGGTCTTACTTTACAAATATAATAATACTCCAGGCTAGACTTTTATTTATTTATATATAAATATATTATTAAATTTTAAAAAAATAAATCTTATTTAGTATTAAATTATAATTTGTATGTTATTTTTATTTTATTTTTATTTTTATTAATTATATGGGATAAACCCTTTAAAACATATTATTTTTAAATATATACATTTTAGAATTCATTGTTATTTTAATTTTTATTATTTATTTATAATTATATTAATATATTTATTCTATTATTTATTATTATTTGCGGAATATAGAAGAAAAGGAATATGGAGCCAGGCCCTCTGTAAATCTCTTATATTAAAAATTAAAGTCCTCCCCCGTTTAGGTAGGCAAATTTATGCCTATGACTATTCTGTATTTTTGATATTATCCATATACTATAAAATAGTAATAATAATTACTTTTAGATGAATATGACGAATAAACAACGTCAAAAAAAAAAAAGAATTATTGAATCTAAGAATAAAGTACCAAAATTTGTTTCCATATCAGTTGATGATGAAGTTTTGATGAATGTTAAAGATTCAGATTTTTCAGAAGATGAACAATGTATTTCAAATGTGACTGGACATATAACTTTATACATACGATTATTGGCTGCGCAAACAATGAAAAAAATGTTCACTGTAAATTTTATATGTACATTAAATTTTGAAATTAGTTATATTTTTCATATCTTATTTTTAATTTGATTATAGATTATTGAGAAAAAAATGTTATTAGGATATTTATACTCAATTTTCGATGGCCCAATGAACATTCAAAACTGTTTAATTTCTGAAGTAGGAAATTCTGTTCGAGAACCTTCTTCTAAAATACGTGCTACTATTATAACTGCTATCACATCTATTTTTAATGGATCAAAAATATATTTTGCTCAAGCGCAATATAGGTAAATAACACATTTTTAAATACTTATTATTTGTTTATTAATTAGTTTTATAGAATAATTCATTTTTAAGAGAAAAGAAGGGTGCATTTACCACATGGTCTGAAATACTTGCCGATTATATAATTGCAATACATAATACTTTGTTGAAAGATTTTAGTATGGAATCCCATAGTGTCCGTCTTGTACTCTTACACTGTTTTTCTACTGTGATTACTAATACACCATACACGAGATTAAATAAAAATCTTCTTAAATCAGTATTAGACACTATACTTGTTTATACGAAATGTGAACCTTGTGGTTAGTAACATATTTTTCTTTGTAAAATTAATAATTTATAAATAATAATATTCTAATTTATACATATTTTATCCTAGAAAATTATATTAGAATTGGTGTATTTCGCTGTCTGACATCTATATTTAATTCAGAATTACCAGATTTAGAAAAAGAATTATTAATTGAAAAAAAAACCGAAATTGTGAATTTATGTTTGTATTTATTTAAAGTAAGTGAATATCTAAGTAAAAAAAGAACTATAAATATTTTAAAAAAAAATAATAAATAATTTTTTATTCATTTGAAGCTTGATTTCTTGATTTTCAGTTTTTAAATTAAAATTATTAGAATTATATATTATGTATTCATATTTATTGTGTTATATGTTATTTTAATCATAAAATTTAATACATTTTTTACATAAAGTCAACTACCTATATTCTATAATTATAATTATCACTTACTAATATTATATCAATACAGAAATTTAAAATTAATTGTTAATACCCTTTGATTGTCTGAAGAAATAATTTTTATTGATATTCATTATTTATTTTATGTTTATTATTATAGGAAACAAAATTATTTCTAGAAAGTGATCAAGATAATACTCAAATTATTGTACGCCGTCAATGCTGGCAAATATTAAATAGTTACTGTAATCATTATCATGGTTTGATTGAAAATAGGATGTTAATTAATATTGCCATTGAAGATATGAAATACCCTAAACAAATTTTGTTACGTAAAAACATTTTGTCATGCTTAAAGCAAATGTCTGCGGTGTCAGAAGGTTATAATCTTATAATAAAATATTTTGTGATTTTGAACAATTTATTAGAATATGAATGTTATAGAGAATGAATATAAATCGGCCCGATTAGAAAAATGGAAGTTAATATTTCGTAAATTAATACCACAAATGTTTGCTGAAAAAGATGCACAAACACTACCTATTCTTATTGAAAGTCTATCTACAATTGGATCGGATTTATTTAATGAACTTGAAGTATGCTAATAATCTAAAGTGATTTAGATAATATTCAATCAGTTACATTTTATATAACTTAACTTTTATAGGACGAATTAATTGATTCTTATTCTGATGAATTATTATCATTTATTACTTATGAAGACTTAAATATCCAAGCAGCTGCTATAGCAACATTGGGTACACTAATTAAATATGAAAAACTATCAAAAGTAAGTTAACCATGTATTCGTGTTTTAATAAAATATAAAATTAAATAAACAGTTGATTTAATTACTTAATAATAAGTTAATATATTTTTGTAATTTTTATAGAATCCAGTCTATATTGAACACACCATTGACAGTTTGCTTTATGTATCATCGGTGAATAAAAATAATTTGGTTCAAGAAAAATTATCATGGACATTAAATTGCTTAGCTGAAATATTATTAGAAAATTGGTTAGTGTCTAAAAAATATGTTACATTTGAAATTATCCATAAGAGCTTTAAGATACCATTAATAATAAATACATATATTTTTTTAGTTAATATTCTGAATACTAAACTCTTTTTATATCATATTTTTATATTATTTTAACTTATTCTAGGGAGTTGTATGAAATAAAAGATGGTAATTTGTTATGCTTAGCCAAAGCTGCACTTTCTACACTAGATCGTAAACCGGTAATTTAATGAATAAACTAATACATTAACAAGTTGTTCGTTGAAATTATTTAGTTTACTATGATTATTAATATTCATTCTAATATTTAGTGCAGAGCTTGTGGCACTAGAGCATTAGGTATTTTCCTATCATTAATTGACCATACTGATGTTACTATACAGCAATTCGGTCCATTATTTCAAGAATCTATAGAAATTTTGATTAATATTGCAAATGGAAATGATAGTATGAAAGTTAGTTGATATACATTGTATTATAAATAATTATTCAATATTTGATCTATAATTATTTTTTTATATTAGAACCGATGGAATAGCTGTCGTTCTCTTGGTACTCTTTATCAAACAAATTCTATTAAAAAATTATCAGAAACTCTAAAGGTAAATGAATGCGTAGAATACAATATTAATATTATTATAGCTAAATATTTTATTTTCAGAACAATGTGTTTAATACATTATCTACATTAATTACAAACTGCTGTAATTTTAAAGTCAGACATGTAGCCTGTTCATCATTAATGTTTAATCAACGAGAGCTCTACGGTACTAATTATATGAAAATGTGGCATAGACTGTTTGATGCTTTTGAAAACGCTCAAAATTTACCTCGTATTTGTGAGCATAAACATCAACAAAAACTTATAAATCAGGTTTGTTGTTGGTAAAATATTCAAATTCATATTAAATAATAAGTAACTATTCTTATTTACAGCTCTGTTCATCATTTTGTAATTTGTGTCGTTTCCTAGAACCAACTGACATAAGTAATTTAATGTATTTGTTTGAGTCACGTCTATATTTGATCCAAAATGAGATGGAGAAATTTTGCAATTTAATAGATGTTCCAAATAACTTGGATATGTTAACAGCAGCACACAAAAATTTGTATAATTTATTAAAAACTAAACAACTTTCATCTAAACAAATTGAAATTGTAAATGATTTACTGAATGTATTTTACAACCATTAGATCATCATCAAAGTTTCTCATTACATTATCTCACGTTTAAATATTTTATATTCAATTATTAAATGTATTTATTAACAGTTAAGTAAAAAAAGGTTCTATTATATGATAAAGTTGATTATCTTTTAAATAGGATAAAATAATAATTTTTCATTATTTACATGAAAAAAACCAAATGTAGTAAATATCCTTCTGGATTGCTCAAGTATATCTATAATTTTAAATATTAAAATAGTATTATTTAAATCTGATCAATTTATCGTATTTCGTAATATGCAGATAAATTTTGAACAGCCCAGATAAAAAATAATTGATAAATATTTCACATGTTACACACATACAATTTACATTTTAAGTAGTACAAAATGTAATATTTTTTTGAAAGGTATAAATTAGTTGCTCAGTTATTTATATGATTTCTATAAAGTAGATGGATAAGACTACTTGGAATGTTCATATTGACTGATTTATACTAATATTGAGTTATAAGTTATAACTTATAACTATCAATAGTTTTGAGGAATTTTCAATAAGCAAAATACAATTATTAAAAAAGTCAGTTTATTACAAAAAAAAAACATACAAAATGTAACATAAGAACAAATCACTACACAATAATCACACAAAATTATTATACCAGACTTTAAATAATAGTTAAATTAACACTTAGTCACATTTTAAATAATGAAAAATAAAATAAAGCACCTGACTATATTCTATAGAATAATTTGCAAATAATTAAATTAATATAACCATTTTTTAATAATGATAAAAAAAGTTCTAAAAATAAAACCTTAAAATTTCTATCAAATATAATGTATATATACCCTGAAAAATGTTAATTTTGAATATATTATTAGTCAGTTTTACTTAAATAGCTGTATGCAAATATTATAAAGTGTAATGAGAATAAAATTATTAATTATTTTAGTTAAGTACAGTTTTCCAAATATTTCTCCTGTAATGAGGTTTTTGAATATTATTAAAATAATAATATCCAAATTAATAAATAGTTTAAAGCACTCAAAATTGCACTATTTATAATTTATTCAGAGATATATTACATTTTATAGTACAATTTTAATCTGGTAAAAAATAAATCTACAAATGCACAACCGGTACATAATTATAAAATGTGTTAATTATTGTAAAATATTAAACAAAGTAAAAAAATAATAACAAAATTAAGATTAATTAAATAACATAAAATGCAAAATATAAAAAGTGATACGAATAAGCAAATAATTTGTTAGACAAGACATTCGGAAAGGGTATTTTATTTTTTTTTTTTTAAACTAATATTTTTTCATTAAAAATATATAAATTTAATCTATTCAATATTTATTAATTTTGCTATTAAAAATGTGTCTATAGTCTTTTTATTTACAAACTTGATATGATTGCATATTTAAAACTTCTAATGTTAAAACATTGATCTAAAATAATTTAATGAATCTGCTTTTTTTGTTATTTTTTTTCTTAAAATTAACTATATGATTATGTTTATGATTCACTTAATGTGTAATGAGTATACGTTATAAATTTATATAATTATTAGAGAGTGAATATTATTGCCTAAAACCTAAATCACACAATAAAACCAATAACTACCCTTGTGCAACAAAATAAAATAACAAATGCATGGCAGCATGGAAATTAAAGCGTGCAGTCTTATTTTAGGTAATTACAACCTCATTGTTGTATGACTAGTAATTTTTTCGTAAGCCGAATATATGAAAGATGAAGTAATGTTTTGTCTCATAAAAAAGCATTTAAGAATTGTATTCACTATACACAACTATTAAAACAAACATTATATTTTTAAATTAAAAATATGTATAGTATATATTACTTATTATCTAATAGGTTAAGCTAGATTCAAATAGATTTTTCAAAATGTGATGTTAACAATTTAAGATGGTTGACTATTATTGATACAATTAAAATAAGGTAAATTAAGGTGGACAATTTATTATTATAGGATTTTATATCTATTTTACTTTTAATACATATTTAACATAATATAATTAGTTAAAATAAAATAAGAAATAGATTAGATTGAATTATTAGAATAAAATATATTTAAAATCCAGTTGTATATGAATTCAATTTAAAATAACATTAGTTTTGCAAAAATTTAATAATTTTTATAAAATATTATCAAAATATTTATTCATAAGCTATATAGATAATTCAAAATACTATGAACATATTTAATTAAGCAGAATAATATATTAATATTAAACGAACTAACCCTGTGAATAAAATATGATGATATTATGAAATGAATAATGTGGTCCTTCAAAATAAAATTAATCTATAGGTATTCGTTATTTATTAACTAGTTTTCAACATTGTGATTTTAATAAGCACCTTATATTTTAAAGCACCTTCTTAAAAATACTATTTGATTAACATTATCTTAAATCATCATTAGTTAAATGATTTATTTACTTTATAATATTATGAGAATATAAATACTATTTTCCAATTAAGATCTATACTTAAAGATGTAAGAAAAAACACTAAACAAAAAGGATTAATATACCAGTTAGAGTTATAGTTATCTTAAAATCAAAAAAATATAGATTTTAAGGTAGAAAAAACAATTAATGTCAAAATATGTTACAATTAAAATCAGCCAATTTCTAAAGTTAGTAAAATTAAACCAAGTCTTCGGTATAATATATTATATAAGGTAATATACTAGATCACCAGTGGTACTTATTTTTTTTTTACATTACTGTATGTCTATTACAAATAGGTTTCATACTACTTAATTATTAAAAATGACATGACCAATAAAGTTATTTCGTACAGACATGAAGTTTTAATTCTTGATAGAATTAAACACAGAAATTATTTTTTTTAATGATTTTATACACAACTAAACTCTTCAAATTTAGAGTAAAGAAAATGTATGAAAAATTTTAAATACTGTCATGTCTGATTATATAACACAATTTGAAAACTACTGGTCCAGAAAAAAGAATTGCTTATGAAATTACATCTTATAATTTAGATATTATTCACAAAGTTATTATATTCAAAAAATATCCAAACAACTTTCTTATGAGATTCTGACTCAAAAACTAGTGTCAGTGTATTCAAACCTTAGCTATGTTTCACAGTAACCAGGATTTATAGTGATATTTGGTATCAATTCTATACGTTCAACATCATCATTCTCTTCCAACCCTAATTAAATAAAAATTAAATACCTTAGTTATACAGAATAAGATATATTTAATTAGAGATGAAAATAATAAAATGATTCAATTATTATTTTTCGATTATCAAAATAATCTAATGATTTTAATAATCCAAATAATGGTACCAGACATATTTATCAAAAGCAAATTAATTTAATTATTCAAAAAATTGTGTGTTTTACTCATTGCCCATTGAGTACTAAATTATAAGAAATATAAGTTTAAGTGCTTTTCTAATAAAAAGTTGACTGTCAGTATTGTATTATTTATTTTATTTTTAATCATTGGCATAATTCCCGGTACGGTAATCATCACACTAATCGGTTTAATATGTATAAATATTTGCATTGAAAATGCATTTCACTTTAATGCTTATAGATAATAATTTGATTATTAATACAACCAATTCAAGCAGTTGAATTATTCGATTATTTTGTTTTCGACTACTAATCATTCAATTATTTTGATTTCGTTTACTAATCATTCGATTGTTGAAATCATTCGATTATTCCCATCACTATATTTTATATCCCTAATATTATATACAAAAAAATAAAACAATTATAATAATAATTTTAACACTTAAAATTATATTCATTTATAAAATAAGAAGCTGTATTGAATAATTTTAGGTAATTAAATACCCAGAAAAACTTATCAAAAAAAAAAAGTACTCGAACAAAAAAGTATCTGGGAAAAAAATTATATTATAAAAGTAAATATTAAAATAATATATAAATATTAAGGATAAAAAATTAATCAAAAGTTTGTTTTCTTATATTATTACCTATATTCAATAAAAACTCTCACAAAGTAATTTCATTTTTATTTAAACAAACATACAATGCTTTTAAACGACATTGCATTTGTTCATATATTTTTATTTATTTTTACTTGCATGTTTACCAGTTTCACTTAAAACTGATCATGCTATATCGTGATGTATCATGGAAATACATTGATATTATGATGTATTAAAACATATGAACGAACAATAAGTGTTCTACTACAATACCATATATTAACATAAAGAATTTTGATTTATTTACATGTATAGGAATAATAAAAAGTATCATTTGAAACTAATTTTAATTTATAATACTCATTACCAAATATTGTTTTGATTTAATTTTTTCCAATGTAATATATACGCAATCAGATACTTTTTTGTTCCGATACTTTCTTTTTTTTTTTTTTGTACTTTTTTTTGGATACTGTATTGAATAGAACAAAATATTAAATTCAAATTTTAATAATCTTGTTAGTAAATTATTTGTACTAAAATATATAACACCAATATAAAATTGATTTATACAATATCCATAGGATAAACACTCACAAAATGAAGAAAAATTATAATGAGAATAGAAAAAACTTTTAATTAATAAAAAAAAAAATTTTTACCCAACAATAAGTATTATATACTTTTTATACATTCAGCAATTATGAAATATTTTTTCCATAATTATAAAGCCTTTAATTAAAATTATTCTTTGTCTTCCCATTGGATGAAAATATTGAAAATAATAGTAAATACACAATTCAAAATAATACTAATATAAAAACTAAATAATTAAAATTTTTTTTTAATTTTAGTTTTCTATACGTAAAGTTTAAAGAAAAAATATATAAATTACTACTAGTAAAATACATATTTTTTTTTATTAAAAATATATTTATTTTTTACTTACTTTTTTGTATTCTAGGATCTTTTATAAATAAACAAAACAATGCTATTCCAAAAATACCAAAAGTACTCATAATAACAATTACTGCAAATGTCCATGCTCTGGTATCAAATCTATTGATTCCTTCCAATAAATGTTTTTCTAATTCTACTGACAAAAATAATATAAAATTAATAATAAGTCATAAAAATAATCAATGTAACCAGAGTCATCAATGCCTATTTCTCAAATACATCAAAAAGTAAAACTATAATTAAATAGAACAATATTTTACCAGATTCAATCATGTCACTTAATGTTTTAGTAGTCAATTCAGTTTTTACACCATCGCCTATTTCATTGCTGGCCCAAATCTGAATTCTATAATATGTATTTGGGCGCAATGAATAAATTTCTTTCTGAATCTGTAAATAAAATAAAAAATATTTAAGCATTCAATTTCAAACCAACCATAATGAAATTTTTTATTTAATAATATTTTTATGTAGCAATAATGATAAAAAAATTGAAATTTTATTTTCAATTTTAAAAATGTTTATTTATTAATAATTAGGACTAGGGACTTCATGTTCTTAAAAACCTTAAAATATGTATACATTTATGCCCTAAAGAATCAATAAATATATTATTAAAATATACATTTAAAAAATATATACATATTTGTAATAATTAATTAAATAAAAAATTTAATAAGTAATAAATAATAACAATATTTTAAGATATGATATGGATATGATGATCTAAGATAATTATTTTCTTTTTTCAAACTTGTTTTCATCTTATATTGAGTTTTTGTCTATAACAAAAAATTTAAAATTATTTTAAAAATAAATTAAATTGAAAAAATGTTTTCTATTTTTAATATGGTTATAATTACCTTGAGCATTACATTGGACTACAAGATATTTTCTTAAGTTGGGAAATTTAAACGACCGCTTGTTATCAGCCAAAATATTTTTTATTTAGAAAAGGAACGTTCCACGTCTATGGAACTTATTGGTGCAAACTTAAAAAATGGTAGGTCACTACCACTAATATCTGCAGGAAATCCATCCATAGATTCATTTTTTTCCATTTAAAATGTTCGATATCAAATCCAATCTTTTCTCCAAAACTTTTTTAATTTTGTCATCAATTGCATTAGCTTATGCAGATCCTTCAATTTTTGCAGAATGTATATGCTTTTTTGTAGTTTTAATCATTTTAATGCATTCAGTTAGTGCACTAATAAGACACCTTGAGTTCCAAGTCAAGTGATATACGAAAAAAGTTCCATAATTTTTTTTTTATAAAATTAAAAAACTTACTCTTTCATAAAAATAATTGTCAAATATGCACTTATAGAAAAATTATCAAATATGCAAAATATGGAACTATAAATTTTAAATTTAAACTTGTATTGCTATGAAACAAATTTATATATTAGCTATTTTTTTGATGATTATTTAAAAACATGCAAACTCCAAGAAGTCCCGAGTCCTATTAATAATATAACAATACATTGTCTTATTAATTAAAACATAGCTTTTATAATTTAATGTATAAAACATTATGTCATTATGACCAACAATTTGTCAAGTTAATAGAATGATTTATTATTCTTATCAATTTTTATTTATTTATTTTATTAAATATAATTCAAATAGATAATATTAACTAAGCTCACCAGATACATTTAGAACATTGAGTTCCTGATAATATAATTTTGTTCTAAAGTAAAATGTTTATACAATTGAATAGGTAACTTCTTTATTAAACATATAATAGTAAATTACACTACCATATTAATACCAATGTTGCTTACTAATTACATTTTCATACATTAACTTTATATAATTTGATAGATAAGTTGATTCTTTTCTAAGTAACATTAATAATTTTATATATTACTTTTTAATATTACTTTAATTAATTATATCATTAATATTAATAAAATACACTTTAAATAAGCTTTTCATTTGACTATTTACATATTTCTTTTTCTAATCATTAAGTATCTAAAGTATCGTTTTTCCCGTATAATCAGGAGCTTCTAAATTAATGATGAAAATGGTAATTTTATGTACTTTGCTGTTTCTTCTCTACTATTTCTATAGCATTAAGCAATAAAAATAAAAATTCTAAGTAAAGTACTACAAAATAAAAATATTAAATATATTTATAGATGAAAAAAATTATCAAGTAAAATATTAGTTTCAAAATACATTAAATCTCACCTTAGAAGGATCTACATGGAGTACATTCCAATCATCAACTGAAATTCTTTCATCAATAATTCTATATCGAATTGTTATATTTATAATAGGTGATTTATAATTTTTTTCTATTTCATCCCATGTGATGAGTATTAATACAGTATTTGGTATGACTCTTACGCCTAATAAAGAATTAGGGAGACCTAAATAAATTAAAAAGTAGTTTAGTATATTTACAAATTCGTAAATTAAATTCTACTTACTCCTAGGTTTTAGCTCAAATTCAGTCAATGAAGCATGCCCAATATAACCATTAGTTGCTGCACGATCACAAATATAAATACCCGAATCTGATGTATTAAATGATGATATAAATAAATCTCCATTTTCCATGATTTTAGCTCGACCCGGTAATTCTTTATGGTCCATTTTCCATGACACATCAGAATTTTTCATACTATTATTACCACATTTTAACGTAATATTTTCACCAATTTTTGGAAACATTGAAATGTAATTATTATTCATCCCATTTGTATCTAAACCAAAATAAACCATATATATATATATACAAATATATATCAAACAATCAAAAATTGTTTCATTAATCTTAAATCATTCAACATATACCTATTGGACCTATGCACATTTTTCTTTAATAATTAATTAATTTTATTAATATATAATACACATTATTATTATTAAACCTAAATAATATATAATTAAAATAATTATTGTTATTATAGCCAACACTAATAACATTTAAGAATGCAACTATAAAATGTAATATTTAAAAATACAATTTAAATATAACAAATTACAACAAAATATTAATAATGATAACCAAACAATCAAAATACCCTGAAATAAAGTTACTTATAAGAAAGGAAACATCCTATTTCAATAGATACAAAAACTATTTATGGAAATAAATTCTCGCTTTCTAAAGCTGGAGATATATTTTTTAAGAAATAATTACATTACCTCATAAATATACATTAAGTACTTACGTGCAAATGAAATAAGGAATGCGATGATAATATAAGACCAAAAAAATGTATTAGATTTGTTATGTTCCATTTTTAAAATATCATTTTGTAACTTTTCAAAATTATTAAATTAGCTAAATATTACATAAAATAAAGATAATGTTAATATATTAATTGATATATTACAATGTGATATGTTTTAAACGCCTACTATAAAATATCTTCTAATATCTACTGAACATTAAATCAATTTATTTATATTAATATTTAAAAAAAAAAATGTAAACAATTAAAAAAAAAACAAATTTCTTTCTTATGATAAGTAGTCCATTTTATATATTATTATCAAAATCAGTGTCTCACCGAAGATAATAACAACTTACAAAGACGTTTTTGACATTAGAGAATGAATTGATAATATTAATTTGATATTATAATAAGTAATTATTAACTCCTAATGAATTTATTCAGCTTATAACAAAATTTACTACGTGATTATTATTTTAAATTAATAATAAATGTATATTGTTGAACATAATCATTTAAATTTATTATTATTATTATTATTATTATTATTATTGTCTTTTTACATCAGTACTACTATTTTATAAACGAGTTGATAACAATATTTGTTGACGTTTGTGATTAGCGCCAATTGTTTTGAACTCTTTAATATTCTAATCTCTTAATATTCTCTTGCAATTATTATTCATATAATTATAATATTCTTGTAGTTTTATGCAGTTTACACTTAAAATATTTAAAACAAAAAAGTATGTTAAACATACTTTAATATTAATACCTGTCATAACAGATATTCAATACTTTTGACATATGAATTTAGAAGTATTTAATAGAGTGAACTGGAAGGTATGAACGATTATAATATTAAGTTATTTGGTTAATATGTATTTACTACTTAACTACACATTTTTATTCAATTTTATTAGGATAAACCTACACTCTACAGAAACAAACAATTATGTAAATGTTAAATTATGTTTACTTAAATTTAAAATAGCAAATAAAAAATGCTCACACCTTCATAACTTTCATCAAATTATTTCCTCTTATGGTCATACACACTACATTCAAGTTTTTAGATAAATAATATTAAAATACTTGACATTTTGACTAGTATAACTTTTTATTCAATATTAACAAAATAATACTTACTTATTTTTGATAAATAATAAATTTATACAATTACCTGCAAACTATTTTTAATGTAAGTAAAATTATTATTTTATAACATTTTAAATTTAAGATTTTCTACATATTCATGTTTGATCAAACACTTTCATTAGGTATTTGTATTATTAAATATGTCTTGTAATACTTATTTATTAATACAAAAATATTAAGTATGTATTTAATATGTCGCAGATTTGTCATACTAATGTTATTATTACCACCATTCATAATATTTAAAAAAAAAAAAAGTATTATGATATTTTTTCTTTTATTTATTTTTTGTATTTTCTGTCAGTCCTAGACAGCGGCAGATTGGCTAAAAACTTTGGCCGTGGAAATTACCATATGATCAGCCCACCATCCAATAATAATAATTTTCCATAAAAGTCTCCTTTATTCATGGATTAAATGCTCGTAGAATCGTTTACTTCATATTTATACAGGTGTACTAGATTTTTATCACAATCTTACATTTATAAACATTATTTTTATAAAATAATTTTTAATCCAAGTACATCGGCTTAGTGTTATAATACGACTCCCTGCCCACCGGGAAATTTCCCGGTGGACCAATCCGCCACTGCTCCTAGACTACTTCTTTAAAACTAATATAACTTAAACTACTTTAGTGTATAATTCATTCTATATATTATCTTCCCTAATTACTGCTCACATAATTTCAATATTCTTTCCATTGTTTAATAAATCTTTCAATAAATCCTTAATGATAGAATTTACCATCATATTATACTTAGAGTTATAGATAAGTATATACTTTTTTTGATAATTCATTTTTTTATTATTATTTATCTTAATTAGGTATACAGGCACATATGTGCAATATGTATATCTATACTATTTTTAATGGGTATACATTAAATCAATAAACCTCAGACTTTTAAAAGTATCTAAGGTACGTATTTGTTACAAAAGAAAATATATATAACAATCTAAATTAAGAAATTTACTTTTTAAATATAATTTTAATTGTATTTAATAATGAACAATTTTTTTTCTCATTATGAGTTTGACATTTTTAATATGGCACTGATATTATTAATATATAATATATTGAAATTTAATTAATTATTTTTCTTTGATACTTTTATATAAGTAACATTGTTACTTATATCATTGTAATTTTTAATTAATTTAGTCAATTTTATTTACAAAACAAATAAGTGATTACAGTAACAAATAACTTGTTTTATATAATGCCTAGTACTAAGTTTCATTATAGTTAGTATTAGGTATTATTAAGTTTGATTACAATTAAGTTTATAACATTAAATTCTGTAATTTTAAATTATTTTACTTATATAAAAATATATTTAAATAAATAATAAATTACTTTCTCATTTTATTACTTTTTTAAATTAAATTTTCTAAAGCTATAAACTAATGTAACCTTACATATTATAAAGTATATGATAAGCTTTAAGTGTAATAATTAACTCCAAATTCATGATTGTTCAGTAATAATTATTTTGTTATAATTAACAGTACCTAAGCTTAAAATTTGTATGCTATTTAGGAGGGCACTGGTGGACGTTCCGGTATGTATTGTGAATGGGCTTCACTGACTTCAGATGTTCAAAATTGTGGGGAATTTGGACAAAGTGTTCTAAGCAAGTTTCCATCTGGTTCAGGAAAAGAAGTTGTATTATCTATCATCAAACAGTTGTCCTCAACTTTAGGGATAACTCAACCACCTGAACCTAGTAAACTTGCCAAAGACAATGAAGTAACCTGGTGTATGGAAGTTAGTAATTTAAAAAAAAAATGTAGTAAACCCTACAATGACTTATTTATAACTTAATTTATTTCAGGTTATTTGTTATGGTTTAAGTTTACCATTATCTGAGCATGATACAATTAGAGATTGTGTTCATATATATTGTGATTGGCTTTCAGCATTATATGAAACGCCAAAAGTATCAGTTCCAAAACCTGTGTGTAATGATCCAAATTTATATGCTAGAAAAATTATTTCACATTTCTATAATTTATTTGTGCCACGAAAAGGAGAAGGTAAATTAATCACTTATATTAAATTTGATAGTAAATAGAAAATATTTATATTTGATTTTAAATATCTTAACATATAAAAAGTGAATAAAATGTTGTATTGGTTCTTTGTTACAAGCCTGGACATTTTTGTATTTAAATATTGGTAAGGATTTTTAGATATATATACATAAATATAGGTAAAATAGTATATTATTATTATTTCAGTTTTAATTTATTTTAAAAATAATTTTTTACTTATTTTAAAGGTACTGATACTATTAACCGTCAAGCAGTATTATGCCATCGTGTTTTAAGAACATTGCATGATTTGTCACGAACATCTAAAATTATAGAGCCAGAAACTTGGGAGTCTCTGTTACTGTTTCTCCTTGCTATCAATGATGCTCTATTAGCTCCACCTACTGTTAAAGGTACTTTTATTTTTTGAATTTTTTTTTCAGTTTCTATTGCATATATAATATAACACCATAATATTTATAACTTGATTTTCATATTTTAATAGAAGATGTTGGGGAAGAATTATGTGAACGAGTACTAAGTGTCTTAATAGAAGTATGGCTTGTAGCTTGTGTGCGTTGTTTTCCTTCACCTTCATTATGGAAAACATTACGAGAAATGGCTGTCACTTGGCGTCATCGAACAGCTTTGATTCATCAATGGAACCGTATAAACTTAGCACTTACTGCTCGTGTTTTAACATTTATGTATGGACCAGATTTTCCACAACTAAAAATACGTTAGTACATTAAGTACATATACCATATTTTATTTTCATTAAAACCAATATTGACAAAAATATTTTTTAAATGTTTAGCTAGTGAAGATGCTAATTTAATACCAACTGGTATGACTAATCATACAGTTGCTCAAAGTTGGTTTAGACTGTTACAGACTATTGGAAATCCTGCTGATCTTAGTCGCCCATCAATAATTAGCCGAACTCCAAAATTTTTACAAGCTGCACTTTCTGACCCTAATCATAGACTTGTAGATCCATCTAATCATCCATGTTTAAATGTATTGCCTTACAACTTTTATGTAGCTATACGTGGGATATCATCACTTGTAGATGCATTTTTAGGCAAGCATTTACTATACATAATTTTTTCAATCTTACTTCCTAGTAAAATAAAAATACCGTTAAAATTGCACCTGTTTATTTTTGTAAATATAAGTATAATTGCACCTTTTTCATAATAGGCATTACTTCTCATCCTACTATTATTTGGGATGACATCTTACCTTGGACTACAGGAAGCACTTTGAATAAAAAAGAAGCAATTACAGTAACACATACACCGCCTTCACAACGTCGATTGGCTAAAAGTTTTAGCGTTGCACCTTCACTTACCAATAAGGGTACAAAGTCATTACATTAATCTTAATTTAATATTATAAATAAAGTAGATTTTAATTTCTATATTATGGGAATGGTAATGCATATTAAAGACTATGAACGCTAACAATTTAAAATATTGTATTTCATTTATATGAACTTATTTATTTCCAATTCATATAAATATACTTATATATTGAATATATTTTTGACAGACATATTTTAACCTTTTTTTATTTATAACCATAAAATATGGTTTTGTGAAAACTTTTTCATTTATATTGGTCATGTAATATTATATGTTTATCTTAATTTAGAATTTGTTTCCTTTTTATATTTTATTTTAAGCATTAACTAACACCAAAAATATTCATAATAATATAAATAATAATTATATAATATTCATAACAATATTGGGAAAATTACAAAAATAATATTTAATTTTTTTTTTTTTTTTAGTTCATAAAAATAAAACCAATACATAAAATTTTACTATTATTTATTTATTCATATTGTTTGAAAAGAATAAAAATAAAATTAATTGCATAAATTATGTCAGTATTAAAATAATACAATATTATATTAATAATGTTTGAAATTGGATTGTTAAAACTTTCTGTTTTAATGTATAAATTATAGATTTTTATTTTTAATATTTAAATTATAATTTTTACATCTATAATATATAATATTAATTCAAAAATAAACATTAAAATAGTACAGTATTAATTATTAATTTTGTAAATACTTAGTTAATTGGTTTTATGGATAAGGGTTTCTATTTATATATTTGTGTATATATTTTTTGAAAAAATAAACCTTTTTTTAAACAGGTATACCAAAATCTTCTTTAGTAGGCTTAACCACTAGCCGTATTAGTACACAATCAAATAAACTTTCTTCATCGAATACTTCTACATCATCTATAGTCTCAGGTGATTTATAATTTTTATACTATTAAGTAATTATAAATATATATATATATTGTTTATGAACTACCAATTGCCACAAAAATCAATACATAACTTGAATACTTAATTTTGTGAATAATTTAATTATTTTTAACACAGAACCCAAAATATTTGCTGAAAATCGACCTCGTTGTAACAGTATTCTTCATTTATTTGGTGAATGGTTATTTGAAGCTGCATTAATTGGAGTGGACTTTAATAAGCCTAAGTCTTCTACTATGTGTAAGTTAATTTAAAATAATTAATGCAAAAATAATAATAAAAAAAAACTTTTTTTTCTTTATCCCTCAAATGAATAGTAATTGCTTGGTATTTCTAAAATACTTGAAAATTATAGTATGTAAGATTTAAAAATCACAAGCTTCTTATATATTCTTATAACAATGTTTCATATAGTCTAATTTTCTTTAAAATATACAACTATCTATGAAATTATACTGTAATAAATACATTTTATTTATTAAGCATAATAATAATATTTGTATAAAAGACTAAATGATTTTTTTTTCGTTTTTTTATATGGATTTAGCTGATAGTAGAATGTGTAAACGTCCAAGTTCAGTGATGTTTGATACTACAAGTATAAGAAGTAGTGGTTCTGGTGGTGGATATAGTAGTATGGGAGGAGGTAGTACTGCATCAGCATCTCAACCAAATTCATTAACAGATAATGTATCTGATAGCATTGATTCTATAACTTCTGGTTCCGCCAATGTTCTTCATTATGACCGTTATATGCCGGGTCGAGCTGAGGCAATAGGAACTTTATGTAGAATATTTTGTTCCAAGAAAACATCCGAAGAAATCTTGCCAGTTTATTTAGCTAGGTTTTATATGGCAATTTATGAAGGATTACATATTAATGAAGTAAAAAAATTAAATATTCTACTTTTTTTTTAAAAATTTGTATTAAATAATTACATTTTTAATCAGATACACGAATGTGATGAAACAATTTCAAGTATATTGTTAAATTCTCATAACCTTTTACGTTTGGATCTAAATGGAATTAATGTACTTATACCATTTATTATCGAAACACTAGAACTTGTATTACCTGAGAGAGAACTTAAACTCAAGTAAATTTATTTATGAAAATGTATTAAATTATATGATTTTAATAATATTATTCGGTGTATAGATCAAATACCATTCCTAAAAATGAATTAAGAAGATCAGCAATACACTTATTACTTTCTATGCTTTCATTGCCATTGCACTTTAAAGTAATTTTATATATCTTATATATATTTCATATATAACTATTAATATTAATATATTTATATTTTTATAGAATTTAACTATCAAAGATCTTAATGTGTTTAACAACAGTACACGAGGACCTATTGTTATGGGAGAACTCAAACCTCGTATTATGAATCTTCTCATAAATGCCTTGCAATTTGAGTCCGATTCCCATAACTCTCAAATGCTTTTAGGTACAATGTGAAGATTTTTTTTTGATTTTTAGTTATCATAACCTTTTTTTTTTTTTAGGAGGATTATTGTTATGTGTACAAGATTCTGCTACATTTGAAGAATCTGAAAATGATGCAGATTCTAATGTTACTGCACATAGTGATACAACTTCTAATTTGCTTTCTTCAGGTATTTTCGAATAATCTTAGAAAGTACCTATTACATATTGCACATATTTATAGTATTTATATTAATTTTATAATACTGCGCTTAATATTATGTAGTCTATTAAAACTAACACAGTTATATTTTGAAATTAAAAGTACCTACTTCTATTATTATTATTATTTTTTTTTATTTGCGCTTGTTTGCACAGTGGAAACCATGAGTTCATTTAGCTTACCATCCAGTAACCAAGATCAATTGATGAATTTACCTCAAAGCAGTACAAGTAATATACCAACTCCTGAATCTAATTTAGATTCAACCGGTTTTAGTATTGCTGATCCATTTGACTTCTCAATCTTAAACAAAAGTAAATTGAACCTAAAAAATTTTATTTATTTTTGCGCTACATTTAGTTGTTAATTAAAATATATTTAAAATATTCATTAATAATATAATATAATTAATTTTTTTTATTTATATACAAATACAGTTATAATAGTTTTGATTTCATCGATTTATAATACCAGTTAGATGTTTCATTTCTATTTTTTTTTTTTTTTTTATATCATTAATTATGTAAAACAGTGAATTATATTTGTTTTAACTAATAACTTAATTAATTCAAAATGTTATCAAATATATATTTTTATTATCAATCATATAATATCAAGTTAAAATTCATAAATTAATTAAACACCTACCAGACTTTTTAATACAACACAATATAATAATTTACTTTAATTACCAAATTATAGATCTCTAATTTCATTAATTATTTTAAAGTATGTATAAAATATTAATCCATATGTTATAATTTAATTTTAATGAGTATAAATTTAAACATTTTTCATCAAAATTATATTATATAAATCAATATATTATGTTTTATGTATATTAAGTATGTTTATCTATATATAGTTAATTGTACTTAATTTCTTAATATTCAGCTTAATTTTTAATATTATTACAGTTCTACTAAATAATTAATTATATACTAATACTTTTAGATTCTGCTCATGCATTATATGTCAGAGCTACATATTTAGTATGCCACAGACTTATTTCTTCATGGAAATCCGATCTCAACATTTCACTGGCAGCTTTAGAATTACTTATGGGTTTAGCTAGAGTTCATATCAAAGAAGCAGGTAAAATCTATTTTTTGTTTTTTACTGAATTACGGTAATGCTATTATTAAATAAAATAATTTAAAATTATAATATAAGTGTTTAATACTTTCAATATCAGTAGTAACTTATGAATATTTGACTACAATAAACAAGCATATCAAATTACTTGCAATCATCTATTTAGTATTTTCCATTGGTTTGAATCAGCAAGTATATATTTTAGAACAACCACCTAATATTACTTAGCTACAACACTCTACATTTTTTTAGTTTTATAACTATTTTAATGATTCTCAGTAATTTTTGTAATTTATAATTTACTTAAAATAAATGTTTTTTTTTGCTTTTAAAGTTAAATAAATGCACACTATTTAATGTTTGTAAATGTTGTAAGAAATATTTATTTATTATGTATTTGAATAAATATATCTTTTAACAATAACTGTCAATAAATAGGTCTTCAGGAAAAAAAAAAGGTCTTGACTTTAAGGACTTTTGGGAAAAAAAGGAGAGTACCAATTTAGTAATATGTATTATAATAATATTTATTATATATCATACAAAAGTGTCGTACAATTATATACTATAAATATTAGATTGTATAAGTTCAACATTATTAGGTTAACATTATAAATACTTTGTTAATTCTACATATTATGTTAGTACATTTTATTATTAATTATATAATTAATGTTTCATGCAGCAAGAAAATTAACTGGTAATAAATATATTAAACATATTACACATTTTTAGTATTAATTATTAAAAATAGATATATTTTTAATAATTAATAGTATACTCAATGCACTTGTATCGTTTTGTTAATTTTATTAAACTTTAGATTCATTGGAATGTAAAAGAGCTGTAAAATGGTTGTGTGATTATATAACTTACCAATGTTCACGTCCACCTCCAGCTCATTCTCGAGATTTACATTCTACTATTGTTGCTGCATATCAATGTGCTGCAGTTTGGCTTGTGGCACATCCTTACCTACTTGATGATAAAGATTGTTTGAACACTATTATTGAAGTTGTTGAACTCGGTATATCGGGTACTAAATCGCATGTAAGTTATTAATGCTGTATTCTTACTGATAAAGTTGAATATTATTTAAATATTATTCTATTTTTTAATTAAACTTAAAAAACTGTTAATATACCATTTTTAGTACCATATTTTTATAAAATATTGACTCCATCTACCACATTCTACGTACATATACAGTAGTTTGACAAATTTTATTAAATTAAGATGTTTAAATAAAATTAGATTATTAATATTAATCTAATATTTAACAAAATCCATAAATAAAAATATAATAAAGTCATGTATATTTTGAATTCAAAGATGTTTTAAAATTATATATATTTATAAATAGAGCTCTATGATATAAATTTGATTCATGAAATCTCGATTGCAAATATTCAAACTTATTTTGCATATTTTTGCATATTTAACATTTTTGAGTATATAAATGCATTTATCGATTTTTTCTAGATTAAGTAGCATATATTTTATAAATTATAAGTATAATATTAAAAATTGTCCATATTATTATAAATTATCAATCATTACCGTTAATTGTGTTATTTTCAGTCTACAAAAAATTTTTGTCGGATCGTAAAAGGTCCTTCAAGTTTGAAAATATCAGCAAAATTATTGTTCTACAGTGAAATCCTGATACTTAAAGGCTTAACCTATGTAAAATTTGACTCATATAGATCAAAAACTAATTAATATTTTTTTTCATATTTATTAGCTGTATTTTTTGTAATTAAGTTATTTTAAATACATATTTAATAGAGTATAAACATTTTTTTAATTAATATTAACTATTTTTTTGCATATATTTGTTGAAAATTTAGATATATTCAATATATTTTATGACATATAATTGCATATTTTGATATTTTATAATGCATATTTTTATGAAATTTTGGTCATTAACATCCGAGCTCTATTTATAAATATATAGGTTAATTGCTGCAAGTATATTACATTTTCTATTATAGTAGGATACAATATCCATATAATTTTACAAATAATATTACAATGTTAAAAAATGTTTATCCATTTTATAGAAAATTATTAAATTGTATAAAAACTACTAATTTAAAAAGGGAATAAAGATTATAATTTTTTGTAAATTAGTAAAAAGTAAAAATAATTTTCATAAAGTATATACCTCACATAATTAATATTTTATTGTAGGGAAAACCTCAAGAACCAATAAAAATGAAAGATGAAAAAGAACTCAAACCAGCTTCGATGAGAGTAAGAGATGCTGCAGAATCATTACTAACCATCATATTAGAACAAGTGAGAATAATATGCTTATTTTTATTTTTAAACATGCTTATAAATAAACTATACATTTTAGGTTGGGTATTTTCCATCTGTCTGCGGTGCAGAAAGTCTATCATGTTTATTAGATGAAATAACATTAATCAAACATTGTAATTCCATAGCCACTGATAATGTTGAGTGCAAATCTCATGCTGTATCCAAATTTCGGTACTTTGTATTAGAAAATTCTATAATTTTAGCTCTTTTTGAAGAGCCTTTAGGTAATAATCAAGGTAATGAGTATTCAGTGTATTCTTTTATATAATAAAAATAATTTTATCATTATTAAGTTAACAACTTTAAATTTTTAGATGCACAGCCAACTTTAACAGTATTAATTAGGGGATCATTTGGACGACAAGCTTGGACTTTACAATTAAGACATTTGCCACGACATCGATCTTCATCAACAAAACAATATAATGTTTGTCCTGGACGTCCAGTTGCAATGGAAGAACCTAGTCGACATAAACATATCCGTAGATCTACTACACATTTCTCAGAAAGCATTGAACGAATACCAACTTGCAAAATGTATCTATTGACATTTTATAAACTATTTTTATTTCTGACTAAAAAGTTATTTTTTTATAGCGATAAATCCATACCAAATTTAGATAGTTTAGTATTTGATGATGAAGAACATAGTATATTATCTGATTTAATTGAGAAACAAAAGGAAATGGAACATTCTTATACAGAACCACCACCCAAAGCAACAGAAATGCTACCACCTCAACCTTGTACAGATTTTAATACAGCTAGATTATTCTTATCACATTTTGGATTTTTGTCAAGACTAGATGACACTAATGTAAATTTATTGAACAAATACCTATTTAAAGAATGGATAAATAATCAAGTATCATAAAATAATTGTTAATAGTATTTTTTTTTCCAGCCGTCATCAGTTCCATCTTTAGTTGCATTAAATGTTCATCATGAAAATTTTTGTAAAGACCTTGAAATTCTAGATAACACTCCATCACGGACATGTGATACTTGTCATGTATTTTATGTGAAAGATGGTCAAAAAAATTTCAAAGACATTCTCAATAATGTGGTAAGATTTTTAAGTATGATTTATATTATATGATATCTAATTAATTTTGTATCAAAAATCCATAGAATTCCAATGCTTCTGTTTCTTCTAACTTCTTAGAAATGCTTACTAATCTTGGTTGGTCAGTTAATATTAATGAACATCCTGGATGGACAGGACATGTAGAAACAAGTTGGAATTTACCTAACCATAGCCATTCCAATGATCATATATTCAATACTACTCATGGTGGAAGTCTATATAATGGTGAATCACAAGTAATATATTGGGCTGATGTTAGTTCTGAAATAGCTTTTGTTGTTCCTACCAATGGGAAACCACAAAAATCTAAAGGTAATTTTATATTATGTATTTGAATATATAATTATTTATAAAAAGTTTAAAAATTAAACTCAATATTAGGTGATGTTTCACAAGTAACCCAGAGATATTTAAAACCAGTTACTACAAGAGCTTTGTCTATTGAATTTGATTATAAAGGAAAACCTACCCAACAACATATCGAACCATCCAAAAGACGTCCACAATTTGTATCCGCTACTGTAATGTTAGTTTGGTTAGAAAGTTTTGAAGATCATATACATTTTCCTATTGGTAAGAATAATATTATTAAATATTTAATAATTATAAATCATTTTCACTGTATTTAGTATTTATAATACTATAAATCAATAATAATGCAAATGTTTATAATTTTATTTATATTTTTAGCAAATCTTCTACCCTATACAAATACTGGTGTTGAACCTTCATCACACATAAAAGATATGGGAGATGTACATATTATATACTTGCATGCTCTACAAAGTGGATTATTAAGAGTGAAAATGCAAGGGCCAATTGGAAGGTATAATTATTATAAAATATGTACTAATCCTTATATGACAAAATCATTTACAGATGACATCAAATGATACACACAATGAGTTAATGCTAATTAAGAACACTCAATATCTTTGCATAGAGCTCTTTGATTTGAATTCTGTTTTTAGTGATTGCATGCTTCTGTTATTTTATATTTTAAATTTTAAAGATTTATAGGAGAGTCAATATACACAATTGTTTTTAAAAGACATCATAAAAAGAAATCCAGTGACAAGATTAGGTGATTATGTTAATCGCTTTTAAAGTATCTGAAAGTTTATTTAAATGAATATTTTCCAAATCAATGACTAGGAACTTACAGATCCTTTAAGTGACTATCATTATCATCTAATCTAACATCACTAGATTTCTTTTTATGATGTTTCTTAAAAAAAAATATGTATGCTGACCCTTCTATAAATCTTCATAATTTAAAAGATAAAATAACAGCAGAATACAGTCAACTGACTGAGTTTACAATTCTTGCTGAAATTAAAGTAAAAATTAACATTAGTTAAAATTATAATAACATATAAATATTACTTTAATAAATGTGGATAAAAATATTAAGCCTTTACAATCTTAGAAAATTATTTATAGAGTTACAGTCAAAGAAATTTAAATTGCACACATTTTACCGTTTTTGTTTGTTAAATGTGGTAACTAGATCAAATTTTCATTAGAGAGTTGATTCAACTACCAAAATTCATTAAAAAATAATTAATGGTTAAAATAGGTAGTTGACACAACAATAAAAAAGTTGAATTGCGCATACACTTATCTATTTATATTAAAAATATTCAATGGCTATAAAAAAATGTATTATTATGTAATAACTACTAACTAATAAACAGAATTAAAATTGTAGGACTCTACAAAAAAATATTGAGTATTCTCAATTAGTGTTTACACACAGTATATAATGTTAATTTAAAGATTAAATCTAAAAATAAAAATGTTTAGTCGGTTTTGCTTTTGTTTCTTGTTTGTTTAAAAAAACATTTTATATTTAATTACTTAGTTTATTTGAGCATATTTTTATTAAACGACGTGTTCAAAAATCATTTTATAGATAGTTTGGATAATATTAAATCAATTTTGAAAAATATTAATATCTTGTACCTTTTAATTAATCACGAAAGATGTTTTATATTATTATTAATATTTGAATATAGTATTTACATTAATTTAATTGATTATTATTTATAATTTTTGTATAATTATAGAACAAATCTTGCTACCCCATTAGTTGATGGTATGGTTATTAGTAAGCAAGTAGTTGGTACAATGGTCAGACAGACTGCATTAAATATATGTAGACGTAAAAGATTAGAGAATGACAGGTAAGTAATTTCCGCAATAATAATTATAAACTGAAAAATTTATGTAATAAACTTCTTTTTCTCTTTTCTTCTAACTGTTTGGGGTTGGCCACCCTTTCCTAAACTTCTACTCATCTGGATTTTCAACATCCGCTATACACACACACACACATATATACAAAGATTTGTAAAGAACTATATAATATATATAAATATATTCCAAAATAGTTATAAAAATGAATATGAACATAATTTATCAGTAAATTTCAATGCATAATTTCTTGAAACATGAAAAAATTATTACTGTATTTTAGAGTATAGTTATATAGTAGTATTTATACTTTATTATATTTAGCAATATTCTTCATAATATTTAATAAATTATTTTTATGAATTCAGATAACAATATTCTAAATTTTATGTTTATGATTAAGGCCCGAATTTTTATGCAATAAAAATCTATAAAATATACAGATTCATATCATTAATATGCAAAAAATATGCAAAATGATTTTTTTTTTTTACAAATTAACTATATACAATTAATAATAAACAATTTTTATACATAACAATGTATACAAATTGTTTATTAAAAAAAAAAAAAATGCAAAATAACATTTTTAATGACATTGTGTAAGCATAAAAGTATTATTAATTATTTAAAGTATTACTATTTATATGAAATTATTATTATTGGACAAGTACCAGCATGAAATAATAAATATGGATTTCAAATTTTTGAATTGACAACTTTTACGATTATCTCGAAACATACTTTTGTATGCAAACTCGATTAATCTTCAACTGATAGTTCCTCGTCTTCACCACATTCAGTTACCTCGCCATTGATTATACCATTGATTTTTTTCAATGCAGAATATCCACGATTTTTTGACAACATACTTTTAAGTTTAGATCTAGCGAAATTTATCCCTGGCCCTCCTTCGAATTTAATTTTAATATTTTCTATGAACAATAAACTACCTCAAAGTATATCTTAAAGTAACATTTGATTTCTCTAGTTTTGTCATTGTATCTATTAAACACTGAAAATGTGTTGTAATGACGGCGAGCTCATTTTTTAATTCTTTATTATGAAATATCCAATATTTGTCGTCATTCGTCGGCCGTCGATAACGATGATGTCGATTGACAATCGCTTATCGATGTATAATAGGTTATTTTCAATGGACAGTAGATATCTTTACAGACCTAAATTCTACGAATTTTAGAATATGCAACATTTATACAACTATCAAGAAATATGCAATAAATATGCATTTTCATTCGAATATGCAAAAATATGCAAAAAAAAAATTAACCCTAACACATTACGAAACGTCGACATTTTTAATCAAAATTATTCTAAGTGAATTGTAGAAGAATATACATTTGCATAAAAATCCGGGTCCTATTTATAATTATAATATTACATAAAAAATAAATTAGAAAATTATTAATGATTATATTTTTCCGTACAATCAATAGACTAAGTACCTAAGCAATATATTTTTAATTTTATTGAATAATTTAATATAACATTATATTAAAATGGCTAATACTTTTATGTTATAGTTTTTATGACTTGAAGGTAGAACCTTCTCCCTCTCAATCATCAGATTGATACATTTAAAAAATAAAAATGTATTAATGTATTTAAATATTTGTGTGTGTGTATATATATATATTTATATTAAATTACTGAAAATAATTTTTAGTTTAATAGATATTACGATTCTCTAGATATCAGAAGTAAACAATTTATACAGCTTAGTAAAAACGATTTTATATAATTTTATTTTCAGCTTTCAACCTGGTCATATCCGCAGACGATTAAAAATTCAAGAAATAGTTGGAAAATACCAAATAAAGATGACTAAACCTGAGCTTTACACATATTTATTAAGTCAAGCTAACTCCATTTAAAAACAATTTTTATTTGGTGACTGACTTGTGCAATATATATTTTTTACAATCAATATTGTTTATAGTATCAACTAATTTAAGGCGTAACATCTGTCCCATATTAAATTCCAAATTTTGTGATATTTTAAAATTTTATTTTTATTTCAAATTCTTAACATTGTTTACCGTTATCAACCATTTATTATTTTATTATTTTTAATCAAATGTTATTCTGTTGTAAACATTTTTTTTTTTTTCATTATTATTATTAATTTATTTGACTTAGGATTAATTACACAATTTATTAATATAAGTTTATATTTTACAGTTGGTATTTTTTTTGTTTTTAAATGTTCTAATAAAATTGTAAGTCTGGTTAATGAAAAATATCTGTGAGAGATTTATCAGTTTTTTTTTTTTCAAATTATTTTAACTTCACTTTTACTGTCTACCGCAAGCCAGACCAATGATGAATTGTATGTATTCTCATTATAATTTAAAAATTTGAAGTCACTGATGAATTATTTTAGTTTAAAAAAAATGCTTGAACAATTTTATTACCGGCAATTGTTTTTGAAAATTTTAAGTGACATTAAATGAACCCAAATTTTTATCGAAAATTGTACATTTTCAAAACATTTGTACATATACGTATGATGCAAGATATTTGTTAAACATATAAATAGATCTAAGGATTTCATTGCAAATAAAAACTCAAAAAATAATAGTGATCAATGCTAAACATAGATACAGATTATTTAATATATATATATTTATAAAAACACAATTACATTATTCTATAATAGGACACATAATTTGAAAGTATACAGACAATATAGTGTGTTTAAATTGAAATTAAATATAGTAAGAAACTAAAAAAGAATAACAAACATTATGACAAATTAAATCATAAATAATAAATAATTAATTTTAAATGCACTATTTTATAAAAGCAAATTTGTTAATATTTGTGGTGAATAATGTGTTCTATAATCATATTCTGGAGAACTAAGTGATTCATAGCCAAAATCATCATATTGTTCTGTGTCCATATTATCATCATCTTGACATATTTCAAGAATATGCTCATCATAAGAAGTTGTTATTTCTTCAACAGCTTCTTCTTCTACTATAATGAAACGCTCCAATGAATCATTACTCACGTTTTCCAATTCTTTTTCAACTTTAGGTTCAATCTCATCAACATCTAATGTTGGGATTTGTGTTTTTTCATTAGAAATCTTGGATGTTTCTGTATCTGGATTTAGCATGAAAAGTGAATTATCATTCTTAATGTCTATATGGTGAAAATCAATATTTTGGCTGGGTTCCATGATTTCTGATGTGCTCCCCACCACTTCATCAAGACAATATTCGTTGAGAAAACTCTATAATATAATATTAAAAAATAACAAATTGTCTCATAATGAAATATTATTAAGTAAGCAATACTTACTTCGCTAAGTAGTTCATCAGCGATTTTTGATAAACGTTCTGATACATTACTATCAAACCAATCCATGTTGTCGTCATCTGAAAGTTTGAGACCATGAAGAATGGAACTGTCAGTAATAGGAACAGGATCTGACAACATAGCATCAAACAGGATATTTGATTCTGTTTGCCCTTCTGCAGAGGGTGTCTATGGGACACTTCAGGTCCATCAATCAAAATTCTGTTATTTGCTTCTGTTGTATACGATTCTGTGGACACTGACTCTTTTGGTACAAATGAGTCTGTAGCAAGTTGTTCTTGTAATCTTTCATTCTCAGCCATTAACTTCTCTTGGTTAGATCGTAATGATTCTATTTCTTCTCTTAAATGTAAATTCTGAAAATAAAGTTTAAATAATTTATAAAATATGCAAAAAATAAAAATATACACATTATAAGTTAGATATATTCAAAGATATAAATGTATTAAATTCACTTGAAAAAGTTCTATTTGTAGTTATATAGTTACAAAAATTAGTAAAATAAATTTTTTAGCCAACGCCAATCAGTTACATCAGCGGTTCCCAAACTTTTTTTCCTTGATGACTTTTTTTGGACCCAATTTAGTCACGGTGCCCTGGCTGTGAATATCATTAAAGACAGAACAAAAAAAAATCTATTGATAACCAATTTTTTTAATAAAATTTAACTTAATAATAAATTAATGCATTTTTAAACTTAAAAAATAGATAAGTAAAAATTATTGTTATTATGATTATAATTATTATACAAAAATATTATAAGGTTAAAATGAGAATATCCTATTATACAATAGAAAATATTACTTTATTTTCTACAAATTTTTTACGAAAACAATAAGGAAAAACAATTTTATACATTTTAAATTATTTGTTATGAACTGTAGAACGCGGTACCCTTAGAAAGTGGTCTTGGTGCACAGTTTGGGAACCGCTGAGTTATAGCATTAAATCTAAACATAAAATATATGAATTTAAAATAAAAACAAATAAAAATTAAATATTTAGTACCTATTTATACAATAAGGTTAGTTAAAAAGTTAATATTCATTGGTACCTCTTTTCTCAAATTATGGACCATTCCAGATAGAAGATTGAATTGTGCTTTCTTTTTGTCTCTTGATAACTGTGCTGCTTCTCTGTTGCGTAATTTTTTGAAAATAAATAATAAAAAAATAATAAATTAACTCTTCAATAATTTTTTTCATAAAACTTTCAACTAAACAAACACATTTCAAACTAATTTTAATAAAACGTACACTTAAGTAATAGGACCATTATTAAAGTACCTTCAAAATCATTATATAATATGTAATGTTTTTGAAGGTACTTTAAAAAAATAATATTTAATATTATATTATTATTATTATTATTATTATTATTATTATATTATATTTTTATATTATATTATTTTATATTTAATATTTTTTTTGTATTTTTATATATTATATAAAAATTATTAACCTACAACCCAATTTTTTAAAAATTCGCTTATATACATAAGCCAAACATACACGTACCACATAACTATAATACACTATAACACATACTAAAATTATTTAGTTCAGAACGATCATTTGTATTTCAGTTTTCAACGTGTGCAGTTAAAATATGAACCGCCAGATATCTATTTACTATTTATAATAATTATCTTTTTTTGTCGTTACTCCAATAAGAGGAAGAAGAAGATAAAATATTGGGAGTCTATTATTATAAAAAAAAGTTACAAAACAAATGTATTTAGCGTAAAAAAGTAAAGGTTTTTTTTTTCAATTTTAATTAAAAAGCATTAGTTGACGACCAAAAATCATTTTACGAATTTTTTAGATTAAATTTAGAATAAATGGTCAGTGACAAAGCATGGGGGTAGGTACTGCGCCTGACGCGCACACTGCTATCGTGGCAGTGATATTGCGTCAAAAGTCTAGACGCATTTTGGAAAACAGTTTTCAGAAAATATATTGCAACAGTTATTTGGGTCCAGAAATTGCGTCTGACGCACCTTGGAACGCGTACCTTTAACGATGGTTGAGAAAATGATAAAATAAAAAATATTGTTTTAACATAATGGTTGACACCAGTGGTGTAGCTGAGAGAGGGCGTAGATCGCTCCCCTTAGAATTTTTTACTGGTGAAGTTTAATCGCGGTTAAAAACTATAACTAATAAAATATTACAGTATTTTTATCTGTGATATTTTTAAATCGCCCCCTCCCTAATTGAGCTCCGACTAAGCTACTGGTTGACACTACACCGTTCTGCAGTAGTAGTTATTTCGAATATAAATTAAAAATGGAATACGAATCTTAAAAATATTTATTGTTAATTACACGATATTCGTTAACTATTTTATGGGTTATATTAAAAAAAAAGTTTTTATCGATTTACAACGATAAAAATATAATAATTATTGGCAAGTCGTGTACAGTTTGTTTTTTCATCTCTAAAACAATAATCGTATACACACTTTATAGTATTGAAATAAGGGGACACCTGTTCGTGTTACGAGGGCGGTGGCACACTATTCATGCGCGAATAGCACAAAACAAACTCCCTCCCCCTCTCCCCGCCAAATAAGTGATGTAGAACACTATAAAAAAAAAAAAAAAATAGTAAACAATTAATATAATATAAATAATATAATAGTATAGTAACATGAGTGATTCGAATAGTATAATATACAGAGTGCACGATCTGAGAGAATAATTATATTATGCCGTGACGGGAGAAAAGCAATGTCCTTATGATTTAAAAATTACATTTTATCATTTAAAAAAATATATTTAAAATTGTACGTTCTCGGGCATAGAAAACAATACATTGATCGTCATATCCGGAGTAAAACACATCAATCGTTAATCCTCGCGGCACATTTTGTAATGCACTCATAAATGCCCGCCGGTCGGAGGACACGGGGAATGGATCTTTTTCGAGATTTTCTTCCTCCCTTCACCATCACCATAAGTACTCTTCGATTATAACATTACTTTTGTTTTTACTCTTCATTAAAAGTTTAAAACTCATTAAAGTATAACAGAATTAAATGTTTTATCCTTATACTATTAATCTCAATTGGACTACATTACAACAGTGTAGTAACGTGACAGAGAGCGGCTCTAAGTCAGATAACTTAGTATGTAATTTAATAAATTGACAACTTCAAAGTAATAAATATTGTATTTATTAAACGTAAAACAAATATTTAACTAAGACTAAAACAAGGAAACATACGTGCAATGGTCCAGTATCTGGTCCTGCTTCATCAGTATGTACCAGTTTTATACTATTGACCTTTCTTAATGGGATCAATCTATATTTGTGATAGATTGATCAATAACACCTTAATGTTCTATACGTGTAGTTAATATTATACGAAACTATTACTATGCTACTCTAATTTTCTATAATAAGAAAAATATGCTAATGAGCTGTGGCTCATTACAACAGAAACTATATAAATAATTATGTTACAATTTAGTAGATAGCTTTATTTTTCTTTTTTTTTTTAATTATTATAAGACATTCTTAACCTATAAGGCTATTCATCTATGGATAATTAATATACAATTTTTGACTAATTTTAACATAATAATAATTAAATAGTTATTATAGAGATAATAACAATAGTGACAATTATTTAATAATCATTATCAAATAAGATCATGCGGACGACCGCGTTTTAAACGTCTTTGAGGTGGAGGACGTATATGTAAGTTGAAGAGTAGAGAGCCAGTATATTTTTGCACTGAACTATGGAAGTTTTCAGCAAGAGCTCTTATATGACCTTGGGAGTAGATAACTGGTAGGTACATATCCCCTCCCCAGGTAAAATCCTAAATACGCCATTGCCGCTCGCATATTTGTTTTGTCAATTAACCATTCATTATGCTCCTTCGATGTCTACACAGTACGCAATCGACACCCCTTTCTCACCGCCGATCCATTAGTAGACGGGAGGAAGGGGTGTGGACGACCGTATTGCTTACACGTCGCGCGGTCATGAAATAATGTAACCACCCACATATAACCACCTACTCACTTGCGCAATATCTTCTCTTCCGGCGATATGTTTTTCACGTACGTCCTTTTGGCCGGCGGCGATCGCGGCGATGTCGACTCGTATTCGTCATCCGAGATCGCCTGTCGCTGTTCCACATAACACATGGCCGAATTTAATATCAGCATCTGATTGGACCGGATGACGTTGGGCGCCATGGTTCTGTCGAGACGGGAATAAAAACGCGAATATTACGCACGACGTACGAGGATGTCAATGACGATAATAACAATTGAAACTCAAATAATAAACCTGACTGTGTGAAGTACGTGTTGAAGAAAAAATACGGCACTCGCGTTTATGTTATAATGTACAGTTGAACGTGGATGTTTCAAATTTATAAAAATATTTCCAAGCTACATGTGTCGAACAATAACGGACATGCGAGTTGATGGCGTTTGTACCGAGTTTTGACGTTCGAGAACGCTCGATTAGTGAAATCGCAGGACCTGGACCTACAGCGACACCAGTGGTGACCGGAGCAAACCGATTTTGTCGACTTGGCACGGCAATTCAATGCGGTAGGAAAACATCGAGCACCAAAATCGATGTTTGCACGGGTGACATGACATCGATATCGGTGCATGACGCAACACCGCCAGTGGATTACATCGAAACGTGTACTTAATAATAAACGAAAACGTCGATTTTATTTTCACTGGAAAACTTGCATTTCTTTCGGTGGTAACGATATGAAATGTGTTACAGAACGTCGAGAGGTGTTCCTAGCCGGAAAAAAAAAATAAAACAAATGCGGTAATGTTTTAGGTTTCACTGCACGCATTATTCATGTCGCGTGTACACTAGTTTGTACAGTACACAAATCGTGTTTACATACGAATTATAGTATGTCAAGAAAAAAATCGTACCAAATTGTGTTTGGTCGAAGAAAACGATTACTATAGTTGCATTTTTACAGTTACAACACTCGCAAGTTCGCAATTATAATATACCTATATAATATACATTGTTATTATTAAATGTAAATTATATAAAACGCTGTCGTTGAAGGTATTTTATAGTAATGTAAACGGATGTACCCTTCATTGCCAAAAGTGGTTATCCTTTCAGCTGTACAAGTTGTTTTTTGTAATCTTAGATTCAACTCTGTATAGATGTGGAGGTGTCAACGAACGGGGCCGATCCAATACACAGTGCTAAAATGGTGCACATCGCGGGGACCGTTTTAAAACATTTAATAATAATAATAATAATAATAATAATAATAGACCAAAAACAAAGTTCTGGTTGTACATTGTACAATTTATATTTTTAAACCTAATTTACTGGTAACTGAAATAGCTAAATAGGTAACTATTATTGCTATTTTATAACTCATAAAATAATTAATTAAAGTTTGTACCTTATAAATGATAAGTTACAAACTTTAATTAACTATATCAATAAATATACAGTCTTAACGAATTCATCCTTTGAATACACATTTAATAGTATCGTACATAACTGAAATGCAATGCAATGGAGAGGAATTGTAGAAACGGCATTAGACCTAATTGGTCTGTTTCATGCCTAAGAAGAAAGAAGAAGTACATAACTACCCTCCCGACTACCATTCATCGTAAAAATTTAAATAATGATCATACAGATAAACAGTTTTATAATACTAAGTAAATATGTACGAAAAACTATATTTTTAATTAAAATATAAGATAATTAATTGTTTAAATAATTCATATCAACTCATTAAACACTACTTTTTTCTAGGTACTCTTGTCAATTACTTATAGTCTACGGGCTACATAGGTATAAGTACGTAAGAGTGTGAGACGAAATCATATATATCCCATAACACATGATAAATACATCTACCTCAGTAGTTAAGTTTCCTATATTCTTGCCATTTTGCGTACTAAAAAAATATTTGAAATTACAAAAAATTCATAAAACTACCTAACATTTATTAATATATTAATCTCAAATTAAAACATATTCGTAAATCATACAAATTATATTTAACTCGTAATGCATATGATTATTCTTAACCAACTAAAATAATGTCCATATCATTAATAATAAAGCCACGGTATTTATGTAAATATCTGAAAAATGTTTATGTAATTATTATTCTGATAACTTAGACTTGATTATTTTGTATTTATCTATTATGTTAAATCCGGTTTCTAATAATCTCGTGAGTGTCATGAATCACGATTGTCGCATATGCATAAAGTATGTGTTTATTCCGTTATAATTGTATAAAATAGGACTATACGATTATACAAGTGCCAAGTGAGGTCATCATCTCGTGGATATAGCAATAACTATTTCACTTACAATCTAGATAGACTTCATTATGTAGATACATAGGTAACCTGTAATACGTTTATATATAATAGTTTACGTTTAGTGAGTTTAGTTATTTAGATACTCATTATGCTTACTAATTGCTATAGAAAGTACTAATTTACATTAATATTTACAAATATAAATACCTATAATACATATGTACTAAAATTGATTTTATAATACTATAAGTACAAATTTAAACAGTGTTTTATGAAATGGAAAAGTACCTAATCTATTTATTTAACATAATATATGTATGAGTATGTATAAATGTATAATAGCATAATGCAATCAACACTGAATGTGTAGTAAAATTTGTTGATAAAATTCACCGGTTTTAAAATATCTGAATTCTAGACAGTGATATAATATAGCTGTTACAGGTAGTTAATTAAAGGCCTATATACAGATTATTTCAATCTAGTTTTTACGTTGTATAGCATGTTAAATATTTGCGTGTTGGGAAATAAATATAAGCACTAGATCGTTAATTAGTAAAATGTATAAGTTTTAATAATTTACATGTAAAAGTTAACAGCAATTACGGAATATATTTCGTATAAAACTGTACTTAAAATGTGTAATATAATATATTATATTTTATTTACTTAATTTATCAATGTATAGCCGATTGAATAATCGATGACAAGGGAAGGATCTTAAATATTTATTCATCAATTGCGATCTTAATTAAACTTGTGAAGAAATTTAAAATTTGCCGATAAAGGTATATTAAATATTTAAGTAATTTAACAGTAATTTAAAAATGGTGTCTTATTCTATTTGTACTTTAGCCATTAAACGTGGCCATTCTAATTTAACTTGTAATAATTGTAAATATTTGTTTCATCTTTAGTGTGTTTTTTTAAAAAAATAAGATGTTAACCTAAATTAATCATTTAGCCTACCAAAAAAATAATATATAATGTAATCAATATAATTGATTAGGTACAACAATTTTTCTCAGCTGCGAGTTAAATGCAAAAGTCTAGCTAAACTTGATTATAAAAACTACAACATTAAATCTCAACTTTCTATTAATCACAATCCTAAAGAATTTTGAAAATTTGTAAATAACAGAAGAGATAAAAATGCTTTACCGAAAATTGTCAATTTTGATTCTGTTTCTGCTAATAATGGCCAAGACATTGTTAACCTTTATGCATCTTATTTTTCCAAAGCCTATTGTAATTCTACTCATACTAATTTTTGAAATAATAACTTTAATGAAAAAATTATTAATTCAACTTTTTCGTTTAATAAATTAAAGTTCACAGAAATAGATGTATTTAATTTAATCTCTAGTCTACCTCTTATATCAAGTAGTGGACCTGATGGTATTCCACCTATTTTCCTTTATAATTGTAGATTTATTTTAACTTCAATGGAAAACTCTTAATAGATTGAAAGCCGGGGTGGCGAGGACGAAAGCTAACACGATAAAATGGAAATTTAATGGAGAAGATGACTCATGCGACTGTGGAGAACGACAGACCGATGAACACCTTTTATTATGTACCATGATTCCAACACAATGCACCAGGGAAGATCTGATTCTGACAAACACAAATGCAATAGAGGTGGCCGCTTACTGGTCGCAACACAACATATAGAACGTTACCAAAAAATGTGATTTATTAGACGTACCAAATTAATTTATTGTATATTTTTTTTTTTTTTTTTTATTATTATTATTAGTATTTTATTTGATGTAATTATTTTATATAATTGTTATTGGCATTTTTATTATCGGACACGACAAGAAGAAGATCATTTTGCTCTTTGGTTCATTTGAACCTTGATTATTGTCCATTAAACATATTTGGATAAACAATACGTCCAAACAAAATTATAATATTGAAGCTGTACAAAATAACTTTTGTGATTTATGTCTTTCAAATGTAACATACATAGGCCACCACATGGTTCATATGATAATATTTTAAATTATTTAAATCATATTCCGCTTAAAACTAGACGCTTACAGCTGATCTCGAAATTTCTCCATAAATTAATTTCTGGCTTAATTGATTGTCCTGATTTACTTTATTTGATCAACTTTAAATTAATTCCTTTAATACCAGAAATCCTGAACTTTTTTATCCTATTCATTCTGACAAAAACTATATATTAAATAGTACTGCAAATCAGTTAATGATTGCTGGGAATAATTATACTTTTTAATTTTAACTAGTTAAGTTTATTTCGTATTGTCTTACTCTTGTCTCTTTTATTATATTCAGTGGCGCATTTAAGGGGGGGGCGAAAGGGGCAAATGCCCCGGGCGGCAAATTTTTGGGAGCGGCAAAATATTATAACTATTATTATTGATGTGTTAATGATTTTTTTAATTTTCACACCTTTTTCGGTATTGTTTAGTATTTTAAAAAATATTGTTGAACATCTAATAAGAAATTAAAAAAATTATACTATATCTAGTCACCTAGGTAATAGTGAAATAGCAAAATAGGTATATTACATTTATTATTCAATAAGATTTTATATTTTCGTTCAATATTTATAACAAAGACTCGGGTACACAGAACGCGGTATTCACTTTAGGGCACATTTAAAAAGTTTACAAAAGGAGTAAAATTGTATCTAAAAGTGTTCAATGTATGTTCGAATTTATAAAAGAGAATAGTTTAGTTGAAGTATATCCTTAGGTATATTGATATTGCTCTAAGGATGTTACTATATATGTACACCTTCAAGTAATTGTTCAACGGAAAAATCATTTTCTACATTAAAAAGGGTCAAAACTTATTTAATATCGACAACGAGAGAAAATCGTCTTAATTAATTAACAACCCTCAACATTGAAGCTGATTTAACGAAAACTATTAATTTTATTGATATTATTGAACATTTTTCTTCTCAAAAGTCAAGAAAAAAATTAAAAGCTATCGATTATTTTATTGTATATAATTAATAATAAATATAATATATTTAATCTAATAAAAAACCATATATTGTTAATTATTGTGCATATAATAAGTATAAATTCCGTTTTCTATATATATATATATATATTTTAAGAAAGGAATATTCACTGAAAAAAAAAATTAGGTTAACGTTAGGATATGTATTACCAATGATTTTATAATATACAATATATATATTATAAAATCAATGGTATTACTATAAAATTATCTAATAAAATATCGCAAAACAACTGATACAAACAATTTTTTTTATTGCTTAACTGAATTTATTTATATATATTTTTT